CACATAAGAGAGAAGCAAAAAAAAACCCCACAACTAAACCAAACCAAACCAAAAAACCCCCACGACCAACCAACAGCCCCCTCCTCCCCCAACTGAGAAGGAGAAAGACACTTCCTGCATTTCCCTTGCACATGAGAGCCTAAGGGGCCTAGGTTAGTAGATTTTGTGTGCTCCAGACTCACGGAGGGACAAAGGATGGACTGGAGCTATGCAGGGGAGGAGCCCTGAGCCCTGGGCGCTGGATCTAGGCAAGCTGGGTAACCGCATCCAGCCCCCAGGCCTTAGGTTCCCCACCCCAAATGATGCAATCAAATCACCTCCTGATCTTTTTGATAAACTAAACAGATTTAGATCTTTAAGTTCTTGCATTTTTTCTAGCCCTCAAATCACGTTTGTGGTATTTTTCAGCACCTTCTCTAACTTCTCAATATTCTTTTTAAAATGCGGACACGAGTCCAAACTCATGTAGCCATTCTTTCATAACATTACACTGGGAGCTCATGTTGATTTGTTTGGTCACTGGGACACACAGACTTTAAGACTCACAGCTATCTAAGAGACAATCATTCAGTCTGTAGGCATGGTCTATTTGTCAGGTTCCTAAAGGTATAACTTTACATTTAGCTGCATTAAAACACTTTGTTTGAATAGGACCAGTTCACCAAGTGATCCAGATTTCTCTGTATAAACGCCCTCTCACCATTATGGTACCACTCTGCCAGTCTTTGCATCATCTGCTGTCAACTATGATTTTATACTTACTTCCAGATCCTCAATGAAAATATTGAACAGTATCAGCAGGGACCTAATCACTATGGAATCCAACTAGAAACAACACCACTAAATTATGATTCCCTAACAACAACTTTTTGAGACCTGCTAACTAGATTTAATGATCTTGTCCACTGCTAAATTTTTAAATCAGGAAGCTGCGCATCATTAAATGAAATGGCTAACAAAAGTCTATTATGTTCAGGTCTGTATGGAGGAATTTCTGGTGGGGAGTGTTTTTTGTAAATGTGGACTGCAATAAGTGTTCATAAGAGAGGTTAATGAAAACAATGAGTGGAAACAAAGATTGGTAAAATGATTTTGTTGTAACATACTAAAAATTTACAGTAATAAAGGTTTTATAGAAATTACCTTCTGGGATCATGACGGGGAACGTGGCCACCATAGCCCCCTGATCCCTCTGCCTGCTGCTGCTCCACCTGCTTGGTGAGGCCAGTGCCGGTGAGTGCAGACAGGTCTCCTGGTCAGGCCTGGGCCACTCTTCATGGGTGGGGAATGCCGTTCCCCTGGCCATGCCATGCTGCCACCAGCCCCACCCGCCCATCCGCCGGCAACATAGCGCTTTTCTATCTCCCTAATACAGTGGTTCTCAAACTTTTTGGGCCATGGCCACCGGGCTCAAGGCAAATCTTTCTGTAGACCACCAGCTGCTAATAGAAACTCACCATTAATTATATAATTGCGCCCGAGCCATCATTTTGCTAGTGCTGCAGCTAGGGAAAATGGTTTAATTTAACCAGTAAGAAAGGAACTATTAATTTATTAAACACACTAAGCTTTAACTTTCTCATGTTATTTTATCAAACTTCATTTTAAATAAAATAATATATTAATTTATGTCCAACAGAAAAGGTTCCCATGTTTTCTTTATTTATGGTAGGGATGGGGAACCTTTTTTGGGTCAGGGGCCACTGACCCACAGAAAAAATCAGTTGGGGACAACACAAGTGAGAAACAAAACAAAAAACTCTCCAACCCCCTCTCCCCCCACCTCACTGATGTGGCCCCCAACTGAGCCAATTCACTTCTCTGGCCCTCCAGCCCCACTGGGGAAGGGGGAGGGACAGGGTGGATAGGTTCAGGTTTTCCCATAGGCCTGATCTATTCTTCTGAGGTTCCAAATATAGTGGATTTTGTGAACCCTCCCTACGCTCTGGGGTTGGGACAAAAATGGGGAACTTAGTGTGTGGGACAGGGCTGTCAGCAAGAGGAATAGGGGTTCAGGATCTGGGAGGGAGGTGGAGTGTGGGTGGGAGGGAAGGAGAGAGGAAGGGTACAAGGTCTGGGTGGGAAGTAAGGGGATGAAGGTGTGAGGTCTGGATGGGAGGTAGGGTGCAGGAGCAGGCTGGGAGAAGAGTGTCTGGCCGGGGGAGGGGGCAAGAGCAAAAGGAAGGTGCAGTGTGTGGCCAGTAGGGAAGGTGCAGGAGCCAGGATGGATACAGGAAACTGCTGAGGGTATGGGGATGGTGGTACAAGAACAAGGGAGGATGTAGGAGCAGGCTGGGGGTAGGGTATCTGGCCAGGGGGAAAGGGTGCAGGAGCCTGGACATAACGGGGTGGGGGAGAACACATTTGCCTTTGTGCCCTGTGCTGTTCCCATTGGCCAGATTCCTGCCAATGAGAGCAGCAGGGAAAGCGCACAGGCAGCGTGTCCATGCGCTGCTGCTCCCACTCCCAGGGGAGGAGGGAGCGCTTCTTCCCCACGAACCAGATAGCCCTGAGCCTCGACGCACATTCTCTCCCCTCCAAGCAGAAAGCCAACACGGGCTTGGTTGGTGGGGGGGGGGGGGTTGGAGCACCAGCACGGGCTCCCTGCCACAGGGCAAAGGAGGCAGGCTGAGCTCGAACCACGGACCCACTGCCCTAACACAGCCCCCTCATGCTTATTTGGGGGACCATGACGGGGTACGTTTGCACCCATTGCACCCTCCCATGGGCAAAGAAACACATCAAATTCAAGGCTGGCATCAATGGATGTAACTCCCAATGAATTAACCTTAGCTCAATAGTTAATACTCCAATTTAAAAACTGTTCTTGTAATTTGAATTATTGTATGATGTCAGCCAGGAAAATATCCAGAATAGATGACAAAACCGTCACAAATTGTCAAGCATTTTCTTGCGTAAGGATTTCCTAGATTATGAGGCCGTAAGAGATCACTGATCGTCTAGACCAGATGGGGACCCATTTTGACAATTCAGGAAGACTTGATGTCCCAAGGCAATTCAAAAACGGGGGGAGGAGGGAGGGCAGAGACACCTGGGGAGACACTTGGCAACCCTTTTGAAATGTAATGGTGACCCATATTTGGGTCCTGACCCATAAGTTGGGAAACCCTGATCTAGCCTGATCTCCTGCATAACTACAGGAAACAAGACTTTCCTGAATTTTATCTAAAGGTCAACGTTTTAGAAAAATATCAGTCTTGATTTTAAAAGTTAATGGAAAATTCACCACAAGCCTTTGTAACCTGTTTCAATGGTTAAATACCTTAACCGATAAATATACAGGCAGTCCCCGAGTTACGCGGATCCGACTTACGAAGGGGCTTTTCTCGCCCCAGAGGACGCGAGCGGCGGGACTCCCAGATGCACCGCGGTCCTGCCGCCCGCATCCTCCGGGGCGAGAAAAGCTGCTCCGCGTCTCCCTGGTCTGCTGGGGGGGGGCAGCTAGTGCGCCCCCCCCCACCCCAGCAGACCAGGCTTTTGTTGTGGACCCTGGGGTAGAGCAGCTGGGGTGCGGCTGGGTTGGTCCAGTGGCGCCCAGAGCGGCGCTACGGGACCAACCGGCAGTGCCCCAGCTGCTGTACCACAGGCGTCCGGAG